GTTCAAATAGACACACTTAAAACATTTCTGGCCTTAGAATTTATGATTTGAACATGCTTCTTAGCCTGTCTAAGGAAGTGGACTTCGCCATAAATGTGGTGGAATTAGGACCTTTGAACATTTCCTGCCCTGATTTTCTCTTTATGCTTTAAACTTTTCTTTGTTCCTTTAAGTTCTTCTGCTCAAAAGTGGAAAGTACAGAAGTGGAAGGCAATTTTGGTAGATTCCAGTTAATTTACTGGTTTCTTAAATGAACTGAAGGCAGGCAGGTAGAGCTCCTAATAAACGTGGAGAGTTCTCAAAAGGTTGATATTATTCCACAGGGGAGGCAACAGGACATATATCTTTCCTTTCTGTGGAAATCTTCTGTCCTTACTTCCTTTGTCCAAAAACTTATAGCACCTCCATTCACCCAGAATTGTCTGTGCTACACTCTCAACCTTAGATGTGGATTTAAACATCTGCAAAGCTGGTAAGCAGAGACTGGCTTCAGTTTAGGACCATCTTTGAAGAAATTATATACATGCACACAGATGACATAAAATGACTGTCGTTGCTTGCTGAACTACAATCAGCTTTTACACAAACGACTTGGGTTTTTTTCTGGAAGTTTTGCACAGTTGTTTTCTAGTAGCATGTAATCTTTTAGTATACTTGGCTGGGGTAAATTAAAGAAGGCTTTTGCAGGCATGATATGTAATTGAAAGCAGTTAAGTGGATAGAATAGTTTTAAATAATGGATGCTGTTTGTACAATATTAAATTCTGGATATAAGCACTAACCCTCCTTTACCTGTTCTATTATACTGTGATCAGTACCAGGGCAAAGGCTTATGTTAGGGAACAAAATCTGTACTCGTTGTCTAGTACTAGTTATTCCATGACCTGCCACCTGGAAATAAATTTGACAGAGGACTAATTGCTTTAATTGTGACAGTTCTGTTGTCTTACACATTTTGTCTGATCTGATAAACTGGTCTGATAAGGTAACTGATGAGTTAATGAATATACAATTTTATAAGATATATTGCAATTAAAATGACAGTTTTTTAGGATATTTGTAAAGGGTTTGTTGTGCAGAAAATAACTGTACTGCCACCTATAAAACTGCACTGCTAAAGGATTCATCTGTTGAATGAGTAAGGGAAAACTTGCACCTCAGTTATGTGTCATTAACTATTGATTTGCTTCAGTGGGGTACAGAACATGCTGGAGCTTTCTTGAGTTGTTTAGCAGCATTGTGGGCTGTTAAACATCTGCACTGAAAGCAACGTATGGATGTATTTCAGTAATACAGATGGGACTGTATGTACTTTTTTGAGTCTTTTATGCATCTGTGGAATTTAGAATGGGCCAAACACTCTGGATTCAAGTCCTTCAAAATTCAGGGAAGTTTCAGTTTCGATTTTGCACTGAGCACTGCCTCCAACGAATGCATATTTATGTCTGTCCAAAAGTCTTCTTTAAATGTGGTCTTCTCCAATAATGTCCTTTTTTTCCTACATGAATTTGGAGGAGGCAATCGTAACCTAAATTACATCTACCAGAATACGTGTTTTCTGTTATTAGGTAAGGAATATGAAGAAATTTATCTACTGCAGTACATCAGTAGCTAACAGATATTCAGTTCAGTTCTTGAGTTTTTCAGTTCTTCAGCTAGAGAAGACCTCAGAGCAAGGAAACCCAGTCTAGATCAGACTGTGAATAACGGCTTTAAGCATGGAGGTGTATAAGTACCTGATAGGGTTGTGATTTAGCAAAAGTATAAAACTGCTTCAGACTTAAATTAGGGAAATAAGACTGCTATCACAAAGAAATAAAAAATTCCTCTTTTCTCCATATTAGGTATTGGTAGGATTCTGTGTAATTCAGTGTTGGTGTCTAATTCAATGTTGCTGCCCATACCACAATAAGAATGTGGAGCAAGGAGAGAATTTTCAGAGGAGGACCACATAAAAGATCCGTGGGATAGGAAGGAAGGCTTAAAGCTTGATTTATTAACTTAGAGGAGGTTAAAAAATGTGATTAGATGCTTAAATGAGGTGAAATTACTGGGAATGGAATTTGGTTTCCAAAACTGTGACAAAGTCTTGTGGTAAGAAATAAAAATTAGACAGATTAAACCTTGAAACAAAGCAAGTTGTGCTTACTGTGAGGGAAGGGACATACTGGAACATGTTACCAGTGAAGACAGGGGACTTAATCGTTTGGACGCTTACATATTAGCGTGTGCTAATTCGCTGAAGGGGGTGAAGTTAAGTGGCCTGATCAGGTAGAAGTTCGAGGTAATTTCAAGCTTTCTGGCCTTGAAATTTGTGACTGAATCCTCCTGCTTCTTTATTTGGAGTCTTGAAGAAAACAGGATTCTTCGTATTGACATCAACAGGTTTGTAGAGCTGGCATTTTTCAAGTGAAATAGTGCTCGCAGTTCATTATTGATCTTCAGGAGGTATTCAGCACTTTGCCTTCAGGGACTCGGGAGCAAACCTTTGCCTGCCATGCATGACACTTCGGTGGGTCCTGGAGTTTGGGAGCTCTGAATGCCAGTGACTGAGGATATAGAATAGATTTTATTGCTGTGTAATGGTATTGGATGACAAGAGATTTAACAAGGAAATAGTGTATTGGAATAGGATTGTGTATAAATGAAGATTTTGTTACCCCGTCTGTGCAGATGTTATCTACAGTAATATGGTACTTCTGTGATAATTCTTATAAGTATGGGATGGTTGTGTGGATATATGTATTGTGCTGTTGCATTCTGGACCGGTTACTGGTGCTCTCTTAGTATGCTCAAGAAGCCAAGAATGAATAGCTTTCAGAAATGTTTGCTAGAGCCGTGACTATAAATTGTGATTTGAAATGTATTTTTTTTTTAAAAGTATCAAATCAGGTATCAGATCAAAGCTGATAACAGTATTAACAAAAAACTCTAAAATCACTGTTGTTATATCTTTGCTTTAATAAAGCATCTACTTTTCCTGCAAGTGATTAATTTTGCTCATATTTGAAAGCTTTAGCCAAAATCATACTTGCAAGTTTTAGATTTTGCTCCTGTGAGATGAATACTTTCTCCGATATCTTTTTTAAGCAGGTGTCAGAAAAAAACCCCAACCTTTGAAGTCCCAGTATAGGAGTAAACATATTACTTAGTGGAGGCCACCATCTACTTTGATGTAACTGGAACGATGGTGCAAGGGGAAGCAAAGATTTGAGCAAATGGAAAAATCACTGTACATGCTGTAAGGATGTAATTTTGGAAATAGGCCTTTGTCCCTTCATTAGTGCCGTTTCATTTTCTCTTTGACTTGCTTAGTTCCTGACTGTGTTGTGATAATTCTGTTAGAAAGGCCACTAAATGTGGTCAATGGTTAGTAATGTTAAGGGTGTTCACTTAAATGATTATACTTATCTTTAGAATTTTGACCTTATCTGCAAGGGAGAACATCCTCGCACTGGTAAAATTTAAATTGATTTAGTTCAACTTGATTAAATTGCAGGGTGTATGCTGTTACTCAGAATACACAATCTTAATTTGGTTTCCTTTCATTTGTTTAAATTAAACGAGTTCAGGCTACATATTCTGAATTAACACTCTTTTACAGGGATGTAATCCACTTTAATTTGGTATAAATTTAGACTTTCAGATAATCCAGATTAATTTTTCTCCAGAGGGGTCTGTTTTGTTTGGAGTTGGTTTAAATGTCAGAATTTACATTTGAAGCAAAAAAGGCAGAAATGAAATATAAAAAAATAAATATGAAAGAATATGAAAAAAATCCCACAGTTACTGTCATGTCAAGCAAACATCTGTCTTAAAAGCAAGGTAATTTAAGCAGCAGGCGGTTTTTTAAAAAGCATAATTTAGCCCCAGTAGTAAACTTGGCATTTATCCACATGGAAGGGCATACTGTTAATTTAAATCAGAATGGTTGTAGCAGTTTTGCATACCATTTGTGTGTTGATTCAGGGAGAAAAGAATTTTTCACTTTTAGTTTATACTATTTTGGAGGTGATAGAAATAAACCCAAAGCAAATACACTTTTGAAGAGTCTTATCATTGGATAAGACAGTTTGTACAGGGTTACACTGGTATGATTATACCAGTGTAACAAATAAGCACAATTCTAGAAAAGCTTCAAACAATTGAAATAAGCTTTTAATTGGTTGTAGTAGTTGCTGGTGGGAGCCATTAGGGATGGATTAATCGTCAAAAGACAAATTTTTGTATTGCTATATAAAATTTGATTTACGGACCATTCCCTGAAGCCAGAAAATTAAATAATTAAACCGTAGAATTACCCAAGACAAGTTTTTTTTCCCTTTAGCTATTTGTACATTGACATAAAGCAATGAAATTTTACTTTAGATATATTTAATCACAAGTAATCCTAGCTGTGTGAAACACATTATAAAGTGTGGAATAGTTTGTATGCAGTGCAATAAATTAAATTATAATTCTGATTTAAGTATCTATTTTTAGTTTTGTAATTTTTTTGTTAATATTTCTTCAAGCTTATTATTATGTATTACTATTAATTACTTAACCGATTATTTAGTAAATTATTAATTAGATTTTAAAGTTGTTATTAAAATTAAATTTTAATTTTAATGTAATTATTATTTACTGCAATTTGAAACTGCCTGCAGAATATAATTCTGAAAATGTTTTTATTCATTAGTACTATTTTGAGATTGGGCTTAGAGGTTTGAGAGCAAGCGGGTTAAAAAAAGAGGAAGAATATGCTTGAATTTCTTTCTATACTGGAAGTTGTTGGGCTAGAATTCCAACATAAGTCACTATGGGATACAAAAACTAGTTAAGGTGCTAGATAAGAAACACAGCTTTTTCTGCATTTCATGTTATTCTGCTAATCACTGAGACCCCATGTTCTGCTCTGTTTCTGTAGTCACTGGTTAAATGGAAGCCACTCCCGAGATCTGGATGGTTTCTACTGACATAGACTTTGTGTAGCAGCTCCATCGCGTCAGGAGGTTGCAATGAGTGGAGGAGGGGAGCAGCCTGACATCCTCAGTGTGGGAATCTTGGTCAAAGAAAGATGGAAGGTGGTGAGTATGCCTTCCTCAATTCTTTTTCTCTTTAAAACATGTTTTTAAAAAGAAGTTGTTTGCTCTTTGAAATCTGTTTCAAAATTCTTGTGAGATGTATTTTGTTTAACACATGTTAAATGCTGAAAGGACTTTAAAACCACTTGTTTCTCTTATCCTACTAAAAAGAAGTTATATGGATTTAAGATGGGGTTTTTTTTCTGGTAAGGACCTTGGAAAGTTTTTAAATTCTGACTTAGTGCGTGTTCAGAGCACTACTGGAAGAGTCCGGTTAGTGTATTGAATCTGGTCAGCAGTGATTATGTCAGTCCGTTTTGAAATCAGGCACCGTCTTGAAACTAGTCAGTGAGAATTGTTACTTCTTATGGGAAGGTCTTTCAGGACCTTGCTGCTCTTCCAATTAGAAATGATTTTTGTTTCTTATATTTTGTAGCATAGATTTATTCATGGCTGATTTATATGCATTTGATTGTGTGCCAGTATTGGCTTTACCACAAATAGCTCTGTTCCCTTTTGGTGTTCATATCCTTGACTTCCATCTGAATGGAAATATTATCCATTTGAGACTATTTTTGCTGGGAAAACCAGGCTGAGTTCTCATAGTTCCTTCTCCATTCCCCTGATCACTTTAGAATTTTTTTATTTGTGGATTTTTTTTAGATTTTTTTTTAAAAAAGAAAAAAAAAGAAAAAAGCGCCACTTCATAGTAGAACATTTTGGATATCTCTGTGTGTTTAGTAAGCCGTAAATACTGAATTGCTATTTTTTGCACCATCTTTGCTTTGTATTACTCCCATATTTCAATATTTTATTTAAAGCTGTGAGGCTGAACATAGAAGATACAGATCTATCATTCATTTCAAATTCATATAGAGAAAATAATTGCAACCCTCTTGTGCCCTATCCTTCATTTAAAAATGCAGGAAGCCGATTCTAGCGTTGTGTAGGAAACCTTTATATTTTGTTTTGTGTAAAGAGAACCTAAACGGCTGTCTTTGGAGGGTACCTATTTGTAAAACATTTTCTTGTATTGCATCTCAGTATTGCAGTAAAGTAAAAACTGAAAGCATAGTCTTGAATCAGATCAAATAGAATAAAATAGCATCAGAAATAGATAACAGTATACTAATACATCACTATATATGAAACTACTCAGTTGGCTGATATGTGCAACAGTAGTCCTGTTTTCTTCAGGTTTATTTTCTTTCCTATGTAATGAAGAATGATGATCAGATTGGTGTCTTTCGGAAAATTTTGAGAGTAGACTGTTGTTCATCTCATATGATTATACATTTTAACCTCTATGTTTTCCAAATCAAGTGTTACAGATAGATAAATGCCAAATATTATCTGTGGGTAACTGTTCAATTTCTTGATTTCTGTAGCAATGTTAACAATTTCTTGATGGCATCTAAGGCAATATACTTCTTTCTGAATTTAGGATTTCAGAGGACAGTCTGCCAGTGGAAAAAAATAGCAAGTAAATTTTAGAAATTCCTTAGTGCTTGACATACATATTAACACAGTGAATACTGTTATGTTAGGTTGTGAAGTGCTGAAGTCTTTTGCTAGTGTTTTTGAAGCAATAGAATACTTAAAAATTCCTTGTTTAGAAAAATGAGGTGGTATAACCCAGTGGACTTCCAAGTTTTGGTGACAATGAGTACTGTCCCTAACTATCAGTAGTACTTCTGATTGTTCCTTGTGGAGCTCTCCCATTATCCTGCTTTTTTTCCCCCATTGAGAATGGCAGCTCTGTGGTATAATTGCATGAGATTATTTTGTTGTCAGCAGTTTAAGGAAAAACAAAGTACACATTCTGGAAGTTATGTAAAGATTTGCAGCTGAAGTGCAGTTTTCAGAATTTTTGCTGTCCAGGACTTTGATCTTTGTAATCATGAAAATATATCTGGAATTTGTGGACATGAACGTTTTTAAAAACTATACTCAATTAAATTTAATTTTAATCTAGATGTTCTATAGGGTGATTCTGTTTTGAAAAGTAAGCATAGAGAAGACATTATAAAATATTTTTTCCCCAGTGACACCCTCCTCCTCTACTGGTGTCTATATCTATCAGCATTTGCTTTTATACCCTGTCGATGCCTTTTCTTGTCCCTCTTTTTTGCCTTTGAAACATTTATTACAATCCTGACTTGGAGAGACTTAGTTGTAATGCTATTTGCTTTTAGATAGGCTTAAGAAAATCATTTAATATGCGGTGTAAGTGGAAGTACCAAGATAAAACATGCTGGAAATTGTATGCTTTAGACTTGAAGCATGAAAAGATAGGAGCAGAAGAGAGAATGGAGAGAATGAGTTTGGGCTGTGAGATGCTGAATGCCAAGAATCACAGAATCACAGAACGGTAGGGGTTGGAAGGGACCTCTGTGGGTCATCTAGTCCAACCCTCCTGCCGAAGCAGGGTCACCTACGGCAGGCTGCACAGGACCTTGTCCAGGTGGGGCTTGAATATCTCCAGAGAAGGAGACTCCACAACCTCCCTGGGCAGCCTGTTCCAGTGCTCCGTCACCCTCAGAGTGAAGAAGTTGTTCCTCATGTTCAGAAAGAACTTCCTCTGCTTCAGTTTGTGCCCATTGCCCCTTGTCCTGTCGCTGGGCACCACTGAAAAGAGCTTGGGCCCATCCTCCTGACACCACCCACCCTTAAGATATTTATAAGCATTTATAAGGTCCCCTCTCAGCCTTCTAAAGAAGAGAAGCTTGAAACTAATGTACAAAATAGGAGAATGTGATGCAGGAGAAGAGGGCAACATGGTCCTTGTCAAGGTAAAAGATGCTGAGCAGATGTGGCAGGAGGCCAGTATGATTGAACAGGCAACTCCTGTCTGAACTCAAAAGTAAAACGCAAGAGAACAGAAGGTGGAAATAGGGATGGGCTGCCCAAGATTAATATGGAGACATTGCCTCTGTGTGTTGGGATGAATATATAGGAAAGCCGGAGCTCAGCTGGCAGTTGAAACTGGTGAGGGATGTGAAAAGCAGCGAGAAAGGCTTCTGCAGGGACACTGACAGCAAAAAGACTACCAAGAAATCATTCATTGCTGAATGTGGTGCGTGACCCAGTGACAAAGGGCACGGAAAATATTTTTTTCTGCAATCAAAGAGAGCTTTATTTGTGCCTGGAATTATTGACTGGAGTCATTATTGGATGGATGTTAATCATTCTGGTGTACTTTATCGGAGGATAGAAATTGATCTGTTTATTTTATTATTGTGGTGGTGTGTTTGTTTTTGTTTTGGTGGGTTTTTGTTTATTTATTTTGTAAATTTTTTTAAGCACACAAGCAGAAAAAAAACCTTCCAGAGGCAGTCTTTCTCAATCTGGTTGTTTCTCAAAGCTGGTAAATGAAGTTATATGATAATCTGCTATAAGTTTGTATAGGGGTGAGGATGTCTGTGTCACCTCTTTCCTTTTCCCATCTCACCTTTTTCACCATGCAGTCTCACTAGCTCCGTTGTGCTTGTACTATGCTGAAAATTTATGGGCTTACGCTGAAAGCTACAGTCAGATTAATATCTGTGTTTACCTGTTTGAGCCCTGTTAATAGCTCAGAGCTCAGGCGAGATAATGGCATTACCAGACCAAGAGGTGGAATGGAAAAGTGCAGACTTCAAATGACCAAATTAGTCACGAAACTATATCTATGGGAGATATACATGGATACACACATACTTTTTTTTTTTTTTTAAATATATGCACATATATATAATCCTGTTAAAAGCTGCTATTTTTCCCAATATTTAGATGATAGATCTCTTTCCTTTCTGTAAGGACTAACCCTCTGCATAAATTAAATACATCTGAATGTAACCAAGTTATACTGAGTGTTTCACTGGACTCGAAAGGTTTCTGTTTCACACTGTTTGTCGTTATTTCAGAGTTCACCCTAGATTCTTAGCTGAGTAGTACCTTAAACAAGTCATGCCTGAAGACACGAACTTCTTATTCAGGATTTGTGATACTCTGTACCTGAACTTGTGAAGTTCTTGAAATGTGTAGGTTAAAGAGTAACAGGCTTAAACCTGTGTTGGTAGTACATGCGTTACGCTGCTTCAACGAAAGTATGCAGCCTGTGGAGAAGAGGAGATTGCATTTGCTACCAGCTAGTGTGCTTATTAGAAACAGAAGAACATGTGAATTTGCGGTCAACAGGTGTTGCACTAGAAGCAGATGTTTAAGTGGGCTGGTTCTGAAGGTCTGAAAATGTGGTGTGCTGTCTATCCTGTACACCTTTTTAAAATTGGCAATGAATTGGCTGGAAGCGAGTAATGTAAATAATGCTACGTGTCTTGGACCATGTTTTCCTCATCTTAAGAATATTGAAATAGCAACTGCTTGCGATGGTAAAAGATCTTCAGGACAAAAAAGTGCACAATGAAGTACTGAGTATTGTTGTAACCATACAGAATAAAAATCTCATGTGATATGCCTTGAAAAATGCAAGTAAACATAGGAGTATTTTATGTGTTACCTTCTTACTTATTCTTAGGGGCCTAGGCTATTTTAAAAATTGTTTTTCCTTCTCGGTCAAATGGCTGATTGTCTGGATTAGGAGACGTTGGCTTTATTTTCAGAATCTGAAGATATGTCAGTGTATTGCTGATCTCTAGATCCCTGGAATGTTTAGATGACATTTAATACAGTGTAGTCATATAATTTTAGCAACTGTGTGTTTTCAAATGACCTTTAGAAAACCATGTCTTTCAAGATAAAATACAGTAAAAATACAATATTGTGTGTTTCTTGGGGAAAGTTCTTTTTGTCTCTTTTTCTCTTTTATCAGCTTTAGAAAGGTAGCTACAGGGGAGATCACCATATGAAAGCATTACATGAAATAACATTGACATTTTTTCAGTATTGAAAACCACACAAGTCTTTTCCCTGTGAACATTTAAAGAAGAGTGAAAATGCAACTATTAATATTTGCTCTGAATGTAGTGCAAACTAGTTAGTATGCCAGAAGCATTCTTTTTACCTCTTCCTAACACAGCTGAAACTTTCAGTGGCACAAGTTTCTTTAGTATGTCTGTTAGTAAGAATGGCATTGGTGAACCATAAGTAAATGTGAGCTACATTTGAAATACATATTCCAAGATAATCTTAGCTATTTTTTATGATTTGAGATTTAGGTGTTATGTGTAAGTCACTGCATGTAATAGAAAATGCTGTCTCTTTTCATTAAGTCCAAGAACTTTTATACCTTTAGTATTCAGTGTGCATATTTCTGAAAAGAAAAGAAAAAGGTGGCATATTTTAAAAATGTCACTGTGCATTTGTATTTGAAGGGCTCTGGGTAGTAGTGCACTCTTCTGTTGTATTAAATACAAGAAGTCTAGTGCAGATGGAGATCAGGTATATTAACTTGTTTTCCTAGGATTCTCTTCCAAACTGTGGTTAACTGTACCTTAGTAGATTACTCAGTAGCTCTTTTATGTACTGAAGGGTGTGATTATGTTATTCTAAAATCTGTTAGTTACACAACAGCGTTTGCAGTATGGCAGGCAGTACGAAGAAGTATTGATGTTTTGTTCCCTTTCTTTTCCTGTCTACTCTTTTATATCTGTTCTTGTTCTTTCTTTTTTTCCCAATATAGTTGAGGAAAATAGGAGGCGGAGGATTTGGAGAAATTTACGATGCACTGGACTTGCTTACTCGGGAAAATGTTGCACTGAAGGTCGAATCAGCTCAGCAGCCAAAGCAAGTGCTGAAAATGGAAGTAGCTGTGTTGAAGAAATTGCAAGGTAGGGCTGTACTCTGGACATGCCAGAAGTAGAATGTCAGTATATCTTTTTAAAAAATAATTATAATCTCTATTTAGTCATAGTTTGAGTAAATATCCTTCGTATTCTGCAGGTTATTGCTAAATGGTTATTAAAAGTGGAATAGAAGCCCTTTCGGCTTCTGAAAGTTTTGCTGCAGCGAACCTTTTCTTTGAAACAGGATGACATGAAAATAAAAAGAACAACAAAAAAATAAGAAATTGCTGCAAAACCTATGCTCAGCTGTGTTTTATTCTGGATCCATATCTTCTTGTTACCTTTTTTTCTCTAAATTTTGGTGTTGCTGTTACTAGCTTTTTATTTCCCCTTCTAAGGTGGTTTCATTTTTTTCTTTACTATCTAGCACTGAAGATTTGCAGGTCCTTCACATAGCATGCAGGATAAGAATATTTGTATTTCTTTGCCTTTGCAAGTATTGCCAAGAACAATTCTAATGTTGAAATGGGAAACATTTCAAAAAACCTCACACAAACAAAACAACTTCAAAATACTGTAACTTGTAGAAAAAAAATTATTGGTATGTAGAGTACTGAAATACTCTTGGGGTTCCGGTCCTTGACCATTCAGAATCACAGCTTTGAACAGTCACTTTTGATGTACCTTTAAATGCTTTAATGTCTGAAGTTACCAATACAGAGAAATATGCAATGGCTTCTTTTCATTGCTTTTCACAATGTAAGATTATAAAATGAAAGTTTAAAGGGTGACTTTTTTGTTTAATAAAAATTATTTTGAAGCTGGAAAATTTTTACTAATATATCTGTCCCTGTCAGCAGCCCGATTCTTCCAAACTCTTCGTTTGAATAAAACAAAATCTGCATGACATATGGTGCTGCCTAATCTGCTATGTTTTAGTATTAAAAAACTGTTCCTGTGTTTGTATCTTTTTAAAGAATTTTGCAAAAACATCTAGTATTATGTAGTCGAGCAAAGAGATTCAGGGACTGCATATTAGCTTTCTTTGAATTTTAGATTTTTCTAGTCCAGAGAGGACTAGTAATTTCTGGTATTACCAATCATCAATTTAGAAACCATTTGTCAGGGTTCTTGAAAGAAATTATCTTGAAGATAGTGAGCTTTGAAGAAACAAATACTCTGTAACTCCTGGGTTTTTAAATGCTCAGAATTTTTTTTTCAAGGTTTTTTTTTTTCTGCAAACATAAGCTTGATTCTATTTTTAACAAAAATCTAAGTCTTTAACATGGTATAGGTGATGTAGCTAAAGTAATAAGCAAAACCGTAATAACAACTAAAATATTGGAATTTGGTAGCACTGCAGTGCCAATGTATTTGTAAAAGCATAGCCTTATATATGACTGCATAACTGGCATGCCTTATAACTTTTTACTGTGAATTTAAGTATAGTGACGTTTGAGTTAATATGTTACAAAAATGCTTTTTTCACCTTAAAAACTTTTTACCTTTTGAAATATTTTTGAAAACAAAAAATGTTTGGTGAAATAATAAAAAATTGATTTGTGAATAATTGCTATACGGCCTTACAGAAGTTACAATGTTCGTACTAGTCTTCCTTTGGGAGTATAATTCCTTTAACAACCCAAATCTTCCTGCAGAAGAGTCTCTGATTCTACTGAATCACAGGAAATGCTGTCTAGATGAAAAGAACAGAATAATGAAACACCTGAACAACAGATCCACTCAGGCAAAGAATCCAAATAATACATAAACCAAATAAAGATCTTTCAGTTACTCATTTTCTCAATATTATTTCTCTGAGAAAACAATAAATAGAAGTTTTTATAGAACTGAAATCCTGATTTTGTAGGAGATCTTTAGAAGGAGCTCTTTTGACAACTTTCCTTGTGAGAAAACAATCTAAATATTATTTCATTTTTATCTCTTATTATTCTCTTGCACAGTTAAAAAAAAGTAAATCACTGATTCTATGATAGTAACACTAGAGGTGACCTTTAGTCGTTGCTGTGCAAGTTCCACATCACAGTGTAATTGCTCTGGTTTTAGATAAGGAATGTTGCAGATGATCAGGAAAGTGGCTACAGTAAGAGATGAGTCAAGGGTGAACCTTTCGCATGTAGAGAGATTTATAGTTTGCACAGATACGAACTTTCTTTTTACATGCATATATTTTTATCCATAATTAAAGGATTGTTGTTAAATAAGATTGTGGTAGAGACTGTTTATGTTTTACATAAGATCTTGGTTCCTGGGAGCCATTTCCATTAATTTTTCTACCTTCCCAAGTTTTCAGTGTGCCAGAGCTAAAAATTTGAAGCAGAGACGTCAAGAAAAATGGACAGAAATGGGGAGCACAAGACAACTTTATCATTGCTGCTTGAAGAATATTTTTTTATTAAATGCTTCATTTACCATGTAGAAATCTTTCTTATTTTTGACAAATTTTTTTTCATGCACATTCAGAGCAGGTGAAATTGTAAACAGTTCTTTTAGGATATTTTTGTAACAACCTTCTAATAGCATACATCCTCTGAGACCAGCTTTTATCTTGTTCTTCCCTCGCATTTTGGCATGTGTGTGTATATATATGTATGCATATAATTACTGTCTTTTTCTCAAAGGGCTTATGTTCTCTCACTTTCAAGGTGTTCTAGTTACCTTGGACGTAAATCAGAGGAAGGAATGTAATTGCATGAAAATCCTTTTTCTTGCAAATATTTGGAAAGTTTTGATCTAGGAATAGTATGTAATGAGAGACAGTGAGCTGACAGAGTCATTCAGAATTCCTTGATGTGTGGATCTGATTTTCTTAAAAAAATACATTATCATGTACAATTTCTGGGAAAATTATGAAGAAACAGACTTTTAGGAAAGAATTAAATAAACGAGTGTAATATGTCTCAATCCAGCAAAACAGCTCTTCCAGTCTTTCCTAGAGCTAGGCACATTCTCAAGGTTATAAACATGATTTGAGTGTTTCTGAATTAGAGTCGTGTTTCACAGAAACTGTGAAACTGAAATGAGAATAGCTGCTGGCGGAAGTGCAGGGATGTACTATTTTTTGTAACTTTTTTTTTCAAAAATTTTGAAAATTAAACCAGTGTGGTCGTTCATTGTGGGGGTAAAATTAATCATAGCTTTGTATGTATGCAGTACAGTGAATAACAGAAAAACTTCAAAAAGAGCTCTTTTAAGACCCCAGTCTAGCAAAATTTGCTTAAATATGTGAGTAGTTCTATGACTTCTCTCCTATTTATGAAAGAGGAGTATCTTCACTGATACGGCCATTTATTGCAGCTTAGTCAGCAATCACAGAATCACAGAATGTTAGGGGTTGGAAGGGACCTCTGTGGGTCA